CTTCGTGATAGGTTTTCCGTGCTCCAGACTAAAACCAAACTGCGCTGGATCACAACGTGTTACGGGTTTTGCATAATAAACTCTTTCCTTTTTCTAGGCCCGAACTGCTTTGCAGAAACCACTGTTATTCCAGCAGGCCGGGAGGTGAAAACTGACGAATGCACTATATGTCACTGTACTTATGAAGAAGGCACGTGGAGAATTGAACGGCAAGCTATGTGCACTAGACATGAGTGCAAACAAATATAGGAAACGTACAAATCCAAGTACTTTTCGTGGTTTTTATAAAATATCTCACAGCTGTGAGCACCCTAGATGACCCAGGGAAGTCTGAATGAGAAGATTCTGGTGAGGAGCAAAGAATAAAATATTGATATTTTGTTTTTCAAAGTAACATAATACTGCAAGGCAAAGAAGTCCATATATTTAAAACGTTTGGACATAAGAATACCTGTCTTAATAAATGTGTTATTTTCACAGTGAGTACACTAAAATACACTCTATAAAATATTCTATGTATTTCTATAATACCATTATAGAGCTTAAAAATAAATGTTTTATATAGACAATACAGATTAAAGTACTGTATCATTGCCTGCCCTGTTGTATACCTGCACCACAGCTGAAACATTACATTTTTGTTTTAGTTTCCTCGTATGAGGGTTTTCTTGGGGGTTTGGGGGTTTGGGGTTTTGGTGTGTTTTTGTTTGGTTTTTTCCCTTATTTTCAGTTTAATGGACCACAAGAGAGCCAGCATATGTCAAAACTTTGTTCTTGCTTTTGAAGAAAATGGAGTAGAATAATGCTTTCAGGGAACATACACTGATTTATGAATATTGCTGTGTAGAGGTGGGTCAGCTCCTTCTCTTAGTTCCACTGGTACACATCTACTGGTCCACAGCTGAGGTAACTTGGAGCCATGGGTAACACAAAACTGGTCTCCCATAGCTGTTGTAATAAAAATTTGATCAGACAAATCCATTCCTGATTTTCAGTTCAGACATAACACATTTCAGCAGGACAAATTCCTCCATGACGGAAACAACATGACATCACCCAGCTGGTGGAGATGCTGGTAAGTGCGTGCACAGCAGCGATAACGTAACGGCGGTGATAACGTAACGGTATCAATAATGTAATACAACGGCAATCGCTCACCACCTCCTGTGGGCAGACCAGTGGGCAGCCAGTTCCCAAGCAAAAGGTAGCTCACCTTACCTAAACCTCACTCCTCTCTGTTTTACTGCTGAGCTGGATGTTATGTTACATGGAATATCTCCGTGGTTAGTTCGGGTCACCTGCCTGTTATGTCACCTCCCAAGATCTTGTGCACCCCCACTCTCCTCACTGGGGGTGAGTGAGAAATGGAGAAAAACTTGATGCTGTGCACACACTGTTCAGCTGTAGCCGAAATACCGGTGTATTACCAGTGTTGTTTTCGTCACAGATCTAAAACAGAGCACACCGCCACCTACTACGAAGAACTCTGTGGCAGCCAGACACCATGACCGGCAATACCGTCAGGAGCCCCAGCACAGAGGCAAACACACCGAAGGATGCGGAGAGCCAGACGCCAACATGTGACCGCACTAGGCAGCGTGTGGCCCTTCAGCAGCGGAGTTGGGGAGCTGAGGTTTGCAGCTTGCTGCACAGTGAATGTCATTTCACATAGACACAGGCTTAAAATGGAAACCTTCCTTTCTCTTTGTAGGGATGGAAAGTGGAAATGTGGAAATTAAAAGATTTAAAGTTAAAACTTAGCTATTACAGCATGCAGCTGGAAACCATTCACCTATCAACTAATAGAATATCTAAGCAAAGAAACGGAACTGCTGTGGTGGCCATGTGTACTTTGCTAAATATTACTGTGTGGTCGTGTAATGTACCTGTTCATATTTATCCTTAAATATAAGAGAAAAGCCATCTGTGTCATTTCCACTGAACTAAACTCCAGAGCACGTTGGCTCCCCTAACTGAAACTGAAGGTACTTGGCTGGTTTTCACTTCAGCGCAAGCAGTATTATGCATCCTGCGTATGAAGAGTTCTTCAGCAGGTGGGTTGTGTCTATAAAAGCTGTAGTTCTGGACACACTGATAGCTCATGAATAATTTTAGGTTTGAAGATCTCTAGCTTGGATGATGAATATTTTTCTCAGATGTTCCGACGGCCCTGCGTTGTCATGAATATGGGATTTCTGCTTCTACTTCGCCTGTTTCTGCTTATTTCCCAGTTGAAATCAAGACAAATTATTTCTTGGTTTGGCGTAAGCCATTTTTGTAGGAGTGGGCTGTACATGAATTTGGCTTCAGACGTGTGTAAGTAGGTGCCTGAAGCTATGATATTCTAGTTTCAAGTAATTATAAAATTGTACAGTTAGTGTGCAACAGGATTCTTTATACTACTCTCTTAAACCACGAAAATGGAAGTACTGATATTCACTTAAACAGTTAAATACTTAATGTTGGTTTTAAAAGGGAAAAGTGGAAAAAGAGGAAAGATATGATACAGAGGAACTGGGTGTTACGATAGTAATGTTAAAAAAAAGAAAAACAGCTACAATGTCATAAGGTTTTTCATAGATAAATTTTTAGAGAATAGGATAAGAAAAGTAAATGGGAAATGCATTTAGGCACAATTGAAATACAGGAAATTTTAGTTGGAGATGAAAAAGAAATCATGCAGGAAGAGTGATGAAATACCAGAGGATGTTGCCCGGAGATACCGTCCTTGAGGATGGTCAAAACTCAACTGGACAAAGCCTGGAGCAGCCTGATGTAGCTGAACCTGCATTCAGCAAGGTATTGGGCTAGATGATCTCCAGAGGTGCGAAACTGAAAGCCAGGTTTAAATGACATTAATTTATCTTTTTTTAATACAACTAAGAAAGGAAAATGATATGATGAAAGGTTCCCTCACTTTGGAGAACAATCTCTTCTGTTCTCATATGGTGTAATATAAACTGTACTGTCATGTTGTAAAGTATTTGATGATACTTTTGATGGTAAGTCTAATACCTAAACTATGATAGCTCCGTAATGCGTAGAAGGCTTTGAAAGGCACGTATTATTTAAGAACCTAACACAATCCAGCTAAATGCTCTATTTGTTCCCCTTAAAAAAATTCTGTTTCTCACATGCAACAGGAAGGTAAATCTATCAAAATATCAAAATGCTGCTTAATCTATATCGTTATCACCTTAGAAAAACGCATTCACTTCAGAGGGTGATGCTCAAATGAATTTTCTATGCATACTGTAGGAAGTCCCATGCTCTGATATTCCTTGGTATGGTGGTTTTTTAACAAAGTCTGTATTTTCACAAAGACAATACTGCATACTGTGCTCTCTTTTTAGCTGTTAATAATTCAAACTAATGCTAAGTAATTTAGTGCTGCTGTGAGTGGGAAATTATGGAGAAAACATATGGACGTGCAGTGCTTCAGCCTAATTCAAGGACCCAGCGGTCTGTTCATTTCTAATTACCACATGAAAATAAGAAATAGGTAGCCTTTAGTCATTCTGTGGATTACAGTAAACAGAGTTAAATTTCTTAACTGCTAAACATTTTTTAACATGCTATTACCCATCAATTTATTTTCAAATGGCATTCGATAAGAAGAGCTATTTTCTATATTCTGCTAGTTACGCGGTTTATGCTAGTGTTGGAGCAATAAATGGTGTCACTCTGCAGCATCCTTATAGTGCCATAGTTGCGTAGATTTTATATAAAAGTTGCTTTAGTTCATTCAAACCGGAAAGACAAACATAGTGTCTTACTAGTTACTTTCAAATGTACTGTTTTCATTTTTTGTCTCTTTCATATCAACATATAATTTTTTGAAGCCTCAGGATCTGTCATGTAAACAGTATATTAGTGGGATCCTTACAGTATATTATTGTAAGGTAACATAAAATATCATCATATTTAAAAAGTAATTTGCAGAGGTAGCACGATGTTTGTTTTTATTCCTTTTTTCCCAGAGTACAATTCCTGAAGACATACAGATTTAAACTTGTGGTCTGTATCTGTGCTTGAAAAAATAAACACCTGCAAACTCCATTTTCCTGATCTGACAAAGAGCTAAAAACAGCTTTCACATCTGGCTCATTTTTATACACAAACTAGGTAGGCCCAAGAGCTAAGAGGAAGAAGTGTATAAATTATATAATATTTATTTAAAACTTAGCAAGTTGTATGGGGTATGATCTGCAAATAAATAGGATTTTAAACAAGATTCTGTTACTGAATACCAACTTAAGTCAGGCTTTTAATAAATGTCAGTGACAAGGAATGCATTGAACCAACCACTTTGTAATATTCAACAGTCTTATGAAAGTAAAGATGTGTGTCATGGACAGCGCCACGGTATTTTATGTTACTAATTGTTTTCTTCTGCTAAGAGCTAAAGTGTTATGCTCAGCATGGTATCGTTAAGTGTGGAACAGGTGACTGACCCAAGTGGAATTTTACTTTTTTTTTTGTGAGAAGTTATCAACCAGTCAGTAGTGATACTAAAATTCATCTTGAAGGAAAGTTTTTAGGATGTTTTTGCATTTGAGGCTACACTGCAACATTCGCGACATTTCATGTGCACCTTGAGCTGCTCACTCCTAACCAACAGCTGGAAGGACAGGTAGGTGAAAACTACAATATAGACTCCTTACACCAAGCTGTGTCAAGAGAAGCTGAGATCTATCAGCAAAGGACTAAGTATGCAAAATGCATCTTTTTTTTAAAAATTTTCTTCTTGTCATTTAAATAGGTAGTTGTCTCTCTTGGTATTAATCTAGCAGATATTCTCAAGACCTTAAAAATGGAGTAGTCCTAAGTCGTATGACCTAAAATATTTTACCAATATGCTGATAAATCATTATTTCTTAAAAACAAGGATATTCCACTGATGTAACCAAAACAAACTCTACAGATTTTAAAAATATTTATTAATATTACCATGTTAAAATACATGAGAGCTATTGCAAGCATGCAGATCCCTCAGCCATTTAGCACTTTGTTGTGCCATAGATCAAACTGCTGTTACACCAAAGACAATGAATTCCGTTACTAGGGTTGTATGATCCTGGGCTGCATACAACCATAGACCAAAAAAAAAAAAAGAAGGAAAAAAATGCGGAATTTAAATGATATTAATAACAGAATATTTGCATGTGAAATTTTTAGAATGCATCTTTATCTGTTGGAAAAAAGATCAGAGTTTTTCCAGCATCCTGCTAGCTGATGAAAAAATTGTATATATTTTATACATCTTCTATTTATTACACCGTATTTTTTTCTTCATCAGTTTTCCCTCTATCTACTTATAGGGGATATGTCCATCAATTACATCTTCATATGACCTATATCCAATAATGCTTTAAATAAACTGCTATAACTGCTTGTGTAAGTAATACAGGACAAAATAAAGCTGAAATCTACGCTGTGATAATTATTAAGAAGTAATACAAGTATGATACATCAAACCAGAAATGAGTGTGTGATGCAGAACAAGTGTTCTGAATGAAACTTTTTATCCCGTTGGATCACATTATGCCATTTGATGAAGTCTGTACATCAGTCATGTGCAGACTGACTCCATCACAAAAGGCTAACTCCGCATTATGCTCTTCGCAGAAAGAGAACAGAATTTGAGATATTTGGTTATGACTATCCTGAATCATACTTCTATTTTTTCATTAGGATAGATCTTTAATTATCAGCATTAGTATTCAGTATGCAAAGCTAATTAAAATCTTCCTTCCTTTTGTCAAGTTGGCGCTTACCTGGTTATTGGGTTTTGCTAAGCTTAATAATGACTACTTTGTCACTAATTCACAAACCCTCAGCAGGATTTTTGGTATTTGTTTTGGTTTATCTCCGTTTGTTGAGGCGAGCAGGATTCACTTGATCCCCGGTGGCTGTTACTAGCTTCCCTGGTGTTTTTTGCCACTGCTGTTGACTGAAGAGGGTTTTAGAGCTCTTAAGAGGCCTTTGCAGGTAATGTCAAAACCTCGCCTCTTCTGTACATTAGTATAGGCAGCCCAAGATGGTTTTTATGGGGAAGAGAAAGCTTCACAAATACATGTAATTGAAGGCATCTTCGAACCTTTCTGTCTAGAAAAAATCAATCGTCTTGTGTACCAAAGAAATAATCCTGTTTTTCATTGAAGATTATAGGCACACTTGTAGTAAATCCTTCCAAATTTTCAGTTTATTTAATTGAAGCAAGGTAGACTTCTTCTACAATGGGATAAAAAAGTTTATTTTTCAGAAGTGTCATTGGTTTTCTGTCTAGCAGAAAACATGAAAAAGAGAAAGGAATCTGAAGAAGGGGCCTACAGCCTATCCAGCCAGCTGCTGCAAAGTTTCTTTAACTGGTAAACTGAACTTATAACAGTCTTTTCAAAAGAAAATACCTTCACATTGAAAGTATAAACAGCTTAGCAGAATATTCTGTCCTTACAGCATATTTTATATACTTGCCACTTAGCACCTTACGAACTGAAATGCACACAATGTCTTAATTTGTTCTTGTATCCTATAAGCTAACTAGTATTTTGCGCTCTCTTCTGATTCTTAGGACCATTTCAGTATTCTCTTGATAATGTATTTCCTCTTGATCACTCAAGTTACCATGTTTCAGTAATACAAGTAATCACCATACTGTAGGAAAGAACTGAAAAAAGCCAAATTAGAACTGACTATTCAGTATCTAGTCTGCTAGAAATACTGCAGAAATCAAGCTCTGCAGAATAATACAGAACAAAAAATATTTCATAAAGCCAGTACAGGGTATGATATCAAATTGTCTCTCCAGAGAAGCCCTAAGAAACATGACATTTTGTGCTGTATTAATCGTGCAGCTGCATCTGCTTAAAAAGAACTAGAACAAAACAAATCAAGATTTATAAAGCAGAAAAAGTATATTTAGAAGTTTTGATGAAATGACTGAATTGCCTACATTAAGTAGAAGTTAATGGTGGATCGTACCTCATGCAGCTGTTACCAGTATATTGAACTAACTTTTTCTGGAATAAAGGGCTTTATTTAACATAATACAGGGCTTTAAATGCAGAAAAACATTAAAATTCATATATATTCATATGAAATAATTTCTAAGATGTTTGTACTCATCAATTTTGTTTATTTGAGGCTGATTTACAGAGGCAGAAGACTAAATGGAATTATTAATCAGTAGTAACTCTGTCTTTAAGTCATTGCCTCTACAAAATCACTCAGTAAAAGGGTTCTGCCTGAGGGTTATGTGGTACCTGATGAAATTTTGATATGTTTTACCACGAGCGTTTTCTGCCAAAAACATTTCTCTAAAGATAGATACATTGCACAGTCCCTAATCAGGTTAACATGTTTAATTGGCTAATTCAGGAGCAGATTTAGACTAGAAAATGGGAGTAGGAGGTGAGACAATAGCTCATTATTTAATGCGATTTTACTATAAAAGCAGAGAGAGGAAAGCCAAATGAGTATATTGTGTGATATAAAAGAATATGAGACAAGCATGGGGAAGAAAATGAATGCAAGTTCTACTACAGGCTATTTGGACTGGTAGATGACGCAGTAAATGGAAGGGTTATGCTTGGTGCACCCAGGGTGTGAAGGCAGTGTGAAAGAAATGACACGTTGTTCAGAGAGCGCTGCACAACAGCATAGAGGAACCAGAACTCCTAGAACACTACGTGAAACTAGATACTCTAAAAATAATAGAGGAAGGAGAACAGGTGTAACTGATCATCCAGTTATTTTGCTGTATGAGAAGTAAAAATAGAGTAAATTTGTTTATGAAACCCGCAGAGGATATGGACGGGGGGGTTTATTTCTCCATGTTCTCAGGCCTACTCCATAAACTTTTCCCTTCGTATTCTTATCAAGACCTGGAGATTCAAAACAGTCACACTATTCAAAGTTTAACCTACTTATATTAGAAGGTCGGAGTAACATCTGTTGCCAAGTTCCAGAATAGAACTGGCCTATGGTAGGGTAACATAGATGATAATCTGAGGCTTGCAGTGTATCTGCGGTGATACCCTATGAGTGGTGCTAATCTATGACCTGTATCAAATGTGTTATAAATTCTTCAGAAAAGGAAAAAAGAATCCAAGAAACCACAGAACAGCTGATCATACTTCTATACTATATAAAGACTTCATGAATGAACACCAAAACACATGCGGGTAAGCAGAAACTAAAACAATTTGATGTTGATTTACAAAGAAGATAGACGTAATTAATTTGAAAGCACAGCAGCACGTACAAACGTGATAAACTACAGAAGACTATGACTAGAATGACATTTTTAAAAGTACTGAGTGATGTTTAAAAGATAAGAGTTGGAGAGAAATTGTTAAAGTGATTACTCAGGAGCTTGCTCTTAGACAGATTTTACTCAGTATTTCCACTAACAACATTATCAGAAAAAGTCCCATTGAATTATGCTGACATCAAAAGTGGGAGAAGCTGTGAATAAGGACAAGATTTAAATAGGCAGGAAAAAATAATGAGAACGGCCTGCATATTTATTTGATTAAAGAGGACTGTGAGCATGATCAGTCACAATGAAAATGGGAAGTGTGGTACCGTTAACATCATTTGAAAGAGAGGTTCTGAGGACCAAAAGAAATTTGTAAAAGGCAGTGGTAAGAGCTCATCTGAAATACCATGTTAAATTCTAGTCACCCCTGTGCAAGAATAATAAAATAGGGCATGATATAGGTTTGATGAACACAAACTCTTACAAAAGCAGATAGAATGTAGTTGACTTGTTCTGATTATAAAACAGGAGGCAAAAAAAAAAAATCTGCTTAAGCTAAAGGGCATTCTCCCTATCAGGGTAGATGAGTATGAACTTTCCATGAATTTATATTGGAAGCTTGATCTCCTAACTACAAAACAAGAGTAGCTAAAGAAACCAGAACTCCCAGGTAGTTCTTAAAAGGATGTTAAAACTGGTTTAACTGGGTTACAGAACCTGGTTCCTGCAGCTGTACAAGAGACTACTGGATAACCCAAGAAGTTGAACTCTGCTGTACTTCCATGGAAATGCACTTACCAAAGTGTTTCAGGGAATAAGTGCAGGTTTCAGAAAAAGCTTCCACACTGACAAAGATATAGGGAATGTATTTTGTGTTCTATTTAAGTAATAGATGTAGACATTTTTGCAAATCACAACTAATTCTCCGATGCCGGCATGGTCACTTGACGCATTGAAAACACATGTAGAGAACCTATAGTGGACAGTAATCAGATTGAACAGAGGTCTGTCAAAAATGACCAAAAAGATTGAACTTGAGTTGGTTTAGTTTAGTGAAGAGAATATCAGAAAAAGAAAATAGGAAATTACATAAATAGAAAAATGCTTTCTAATGGTGAGGATGTGCACTCTAGAGTTTTATTTCCTTGGGAGTCTATGTAGTCTTCTGAGGTTTTAAAGATTATGCATCTGTCAGGAATATACATCTGTCGAGGTAGAATGATAAGCAGAGGACCCTCACAGTTTTACTGCCTGTGATACAGTGTTTTGGATCCTGGGAAAGGAAATTACTAATTTTACCACCGAGACCAACTGAGGAGAAGAGTTTATGTTTGAGCATGCTGACAGAATGACATCCTCAGCTATGCAAAGCAGTAATAAGTCAAATTTCAATACTGACTGTTTCAGATTCTTGGATAGTTCAGATGTGAAAGCTTTGCCCTGTATCTGCCAAAGAGGTGTCTCTTATGATCCCCCCCTGTGCAGGGATCAGCTTCTTGGGTTGACGCTGGTGTAGGCCTGTGTAGGATTTCTGTGTGCAAGGAGGTCAAGGAGCATGGCAGCTAAGAAAACAGGGTTATTCTTTACTACTTACGCTAAACAGCCAAAGCAAAGATGAAAGTTGTGTTTTGAAGAAAAAAGGAATACAAATTAGTTTAAAATTGAGTAAGATATTCTGAGGGAAAGCCCAAAACAAATCTGCAGACCATAAAAAACAAACCATCCAAAAGAAGACATGCTTTTCTAAACTTGATTTTCATGTACCTTTCATTGAAAACATATGCAAAAATATTCTATATTATAATAAATTTGATATTTTTCTATATCCCTTCCAAGTATTTGTCACTTTTTGCTAGAAGGCATGGACCAAAAGTTTTTTGTAATGAAGATGACAAATTGCAAAACCCAATTGCATATGGAAACATTTCACATCCTGCAATTTTAGAGTTGTCTCTATTTTCTTCCATATTATTTCTTTCCAAACTGTATTCCATTCTGTAAACTGTTGTTCAGTATGTAATCCAGTGTTTTCTTTCACCATTTCTAGGGCTGTAGGAAACCATCTCTGGTAAAAGGATGATTTCTCTATGTGCTTTGTCTTCCATTGTTCCTTCGAGACTTCAGGCTCGATATTTGGGAATCACATGAATAACTTTTTCTTGGGTGAAATGCCATCTGGCAAAGCCACTCCCACTTCTTAGCATCTAAGGAGTGTGATACATCTTGTTCTAATATTAGGATTGACAAAAAATAGAATCATCAGAATTCATTCCCCTTCCTTATTCTTCCAAATGGATCAACAGTATTTAGAAATTTAACTTTATTTTGCAAAACTACACAGAGTGATATTTTATCTATTATTCTTACTTAATAAGATCTGGAAGGTAACATTTGAGTTTGTAAGTAGATGAAAACATGGCATTGTTGTGTTCCCCTTTATAAATTTAAGAACAAAAATAACCATCTTGTTTGTCTCACCATAAAACATACCTTGTCAGATTCCAGGTGTTCTGTGCTAATTCAGAAAAAAATCACTGCTATCTAGAGGTCTGAATTCAATCAGATTTTAATTTAAATCAGTCTGTAGAAATTTGGTCTGGCTTAAAATTTAAATCAACAAGGTCTTACAGAAGTTGTATTCAAATACTACCTTGATCTACTACTGGTTACCTTGACAGACTTGACAGGATTACTGCCCAAAACACCAAAGCAGAATAATTTTATGAAATAGCAAAGTATGTGGTTCAGTCAGAGCACAAACCATTGTAACAGTATTTAATACTTGGTATGATAAATGAGTTTGTCGCCACAATGCTCTGGACAGTCTGGATGTATTAGAGCATTCCTTCCATAACCGGGAAGGCAGCGATCAACCCACACCAGTTGCAGAGTGCCTTCAGATTTTGGGCACTGGTTCAGAACTTTTCCTGCTATCTTTCACTTGTTATTTAAAAAAAAAAATAAGGTGTTTTGCCTAACTGGAAATAATTCACTTTTTTTTTTTCAGAATCTTTGATGAAGAGAGGTCAGAATACAAGAAAAGACCAAAAAAAAGTGAGTATGCGTAAGGGTTAAGATTTAAAGGATGTACCATTAAGTCTTTTGATTGTAGCTGAATGGAAACAGGACAATCTGATATTCTTGGAGATGTTGGTTTGAATTTAGATAAACTTAGATCAATTAATGCAATATCTTTCAAAGTGTTCAGGATCATACAAATAGAACTTTAAAAGCTGATCCATGGCAATTTTGCCTACATTAGACATCTGTAGCCCAGCATCAATAGACTTGAAGCTTTCCCATCCCCATAGGTAGTATTATTTAGGTCCACTCATATTTCAGACATACTTTCTTTATTAGCTATTTCTGTTCAGTAAAAAGAAAAAGCCAAAGGTCTCCTGAAGCCAAGGTAAATAAGGGGATTATTTTCATTATTATTATTACTATATCAGTCAAATATAATCACAGAAGACTAATTCCCTTACTAAGAAAGATTTGCACAAATACAATTTGAGATAGGAGCAACATTCCTTTCAATCAGTGCAGAACCAGCAGCACACAATCGCAGAAATGTTAAGATACAAGGGAGCTCTATTCCATCTCATCTACTCCGTTGGCAATGTTAATTTTTAAAAATCCTTTATTTTCCCTGGAATTTTGAACCATTTTTAATGAAGTGTCTTTCACTGGAATATTAAAGATTTTAAGTCATAGTAGTTAAAATTAAATATTTGACTTCTAACTCGCTAAAAGATGCAAAAAACCAGTCCCAATAGCAATCTGACAAAGTAAAAAGTATCGATGCTTCATATCGACAGTACTGCATTTGTGTACTGAGATTAATTATATATAGAAAGATAAAAAGAGAAAGAAAAAACAACCTTTAATAGGCTTGCAAGGTTCAGTACACACACAAATTGGCAAAAAACAAATTTCTTCATGCTCTCTTAATTTTTGTTTGTATGAAAAAGACGGACTTTGATCTTGAGCTTTCCCCACAAATGTAGGGGGTTTTTTTCAGTGAACAGGATGGAAGCAGCTTAATGAGTACGTTATTTTAGGCTCCCTCACCCCTCTGCTGAAATCCCAAAGCATGATTTGTATACCTGCTCTTTTTTGGTATTCCTCCTGTACTTCCCTTCTCCTTTCTCCTTTTCCCTTTAAGAAGCTCTGAATTAAAAGTTAATCTAGGAAGCAAGACTCTGGCTCCTGGCTCTTCACCATAAAAGCCGAATAACTGCCAGCAGCTAAAATTCTGCCAGATTAAAACCACTCTGAGGGGATGGAAAGACACTTCTATTGCAAAACAGCACGACTGATAGTTATAAGATAGCGCACGTTAAGAATTCCACGATTGTCTTGCCGCTTTACATGCTCTTGATATACTGTCTTTTAGACTCATAGTGTGATCTGCTTTATCTATAGTGGCAACCGTGTATTAGCAATTCTAACTGATACAGATTTCATATCCACTAAAAATTTTCTATTGATTTATTAATTTACTAAACAAAGTATGTATCATTTTTATGTTATTATACTTTACGGTGAGAGTAGTGTATTATATTATTTGGCTTTTTGTTCTTCCATCTACTGTACCTTGCTTCATCTATGAGATGCATCAAAAGCACTTTGACAGTCTGTTATGTTTTCCTCTAAGGAAGCAACTGTAACAAAATACAGTCTGCTCGAAGAAGAACGAAGTCAAGGAAATCAACTTATTTTTATTTACTGGTTTAAAATCATAGAGAGTTCTGATGCAAGTATTTAAGACTTTTTACCATAGTTCAGATGTCTAGCTTGCAACATTTAAAAAAAATCACAGAGCTTGTCCTCTTGTAGATATTACACATCTATGTATACTTAAATATTTTATGGGAACTGTCATTTATTTGTAAATTCTAATAGCAAGGAAACGCGTAATTCTTGACTCTTCACAGATTTATAAATATCTGAATCCTTTCAAAAGAAATAAGCTACTCCCTTTCTAATTACCTGCCTGCCTGCTGATTTTAAAACAGTCATGAAGGAATGCTCCCCCTTCAGACTGCTGACTATTTCTGCAACAGACTGAGGTTCTGTCTGAAGAACAATCAATGAGGGCAATATCTAGTGCATTCAAAGAGTTTTCATGCCTCGCTCCCCACAAACACATCAGTTTCTAAGCCTTGCCCACTCGGTCTTGTAGGAATTCCTAGGACACAGAAACGAAGGAAGACATCAAGTAGGGACTGAAGAAAATGTGTTGTTACATTTTAGTGAGTGGCTTGCATGGGTCCACATTCCTTATCAAGTGATTGGTACTAATGTATTTTGGTGAAGCTCTAGGAAGGAGTCAACTAAGCTGTTCTCCAGAATGAACGTTAAGAGTAAGTTGCCATATTAAGAATAAAATTATCTTTTAACATGTGAATCGAACTCCTTATATTATAAGCCTTACCCACCTCTATCATGGAAGGAATTTTGAAACACCAAAAGCTACATAGAAATCAAAACGTACTTTCTAAAACTCCAAGCTAGTTAAGAACATGTAGTTTACCACTGGGTCGTATCAGAGTTTACATCCATCTAAATCTCTAATGGGAGAATTTCTCCTCCTAAAGCTCAAATATTCTGTAAAGCCTGCACATTGGCTAAGTCTCATTTATGTAGTCTCAATAACCTTAGAATTAACCTCAACTACACTACCAGTAATGAGTCTCTTCAGATACATCAGTGCTATCCACTACAAATACAGTTTGCAGAGAAACACAACTGTTAGTTTCATCGTTTTTATAAGCAACTGTGAAGTTCAAGAAAATTAAAATTGGAAAGTGGAAAATGAAGCATAATTGGTATACTTTGTTCAGAAAAGGATGTTTTTCAAATTGTATGTCTTGATACGTAGCGACTAATGTAGTACAACATATGAAAACAATGGCCGTTTTGGAACTGAAATAATTAGATACAGTAAGTTCAAGAAAATATTGCAGATGTTCTTATAGACATTCAGCTCAACAGTTATGAATAGCATCTCTTCGGGCTTGAGATATCTCTTTTAATAACTAAGTACATCAAGTGAAATGAACATATATTTGGACTGGTTTACAGGTTCCTTCAGACCTTACTCACGACTTAAAGGTGATGAGACTTCCTTTTCATATGGTTTCAGTGTTCAGAAGGAATATTCTGACAATAAGACTCAAGAAAAAAAAATTCCTTTGGATTGACATGATACTGAGATCTCTGACTTCCACAGTTAATGTTTTTAGTGAAAAGCTGGTAATAGAAACATGAGAACAAATTAACGTTTAAGTGAAAAAGCACTTTTAATAACTAAGATTTATGAAAGGGGGATAAATAACTAAGGCATTGAGGTCTTCATTTATGTATGAACACATCCAACTACCAGATGGAAAGTTTTATAATTATTACAATTCATAATGATACTCAGTAATAATTCTTACATATCCCATAATTTGGTGACATCTTCCTAAGGCATCTAATGGTTTGCTTTAAATCAAGCTAACTTAGTAATTCTGGCAACTCAGTTTTATCCAGGTCTCCTTTAGGGTCCTTTTGTTTTAAAAAAATTGAAAATTATGAAATCTCCCTCTTCATTGTTGCCACTTAAAGAAAGAAAAGTACTGAAGTTCATTTCATTTAACTTTAGTTCTTGAAAACTAGATATCCAGCGTTAGTCTGTCATTTGGCAGCTGCTTATATATAAACTCCGAGGCACATCCATGCAGTGATTTATATACCTGTCATAGGTGGCTACATGAAGGTAGTCTGAGGAGTTACAGAAAGCACTTATTGCTTTCCTTCCTATGTTAGTAACAAGGGACATGATAATGTTTTACAACACAAAATTAAAAACACATTGATCTACTTACAGCCATAAAATGTTCTGAAGCTCTTCTGAAATAATGTAAAATATGCACTTTTGAGTAGCTCTTTTTGCTGTTGACAGGAATTTCTCATTAAATACTTGGAAGCATTCTTACAATCGAGAAACTTTATTATTAAGCCCTTACAATACTTTCTGCATGTAAGTAGTAAGTACGTTCAATTAACTATGAAAATTCTACCAATTCTTTAAAAGCAAGGCAGATTTTTACCTGGAAATGGAAACATATTTCATTGTGTAGACCTCCTCTGTGCATTTTTCTGTGAGGGCATTCTGACTTAATGTAACTTCACAGGAAAGTTCAGTGACAAGTGTGCTTAGTATCTAAAGCAAAAGCAGTGTTATGAAAACTGTTGCAGGGGCCTGTGTGATAGCAGGCTGTGAATTCATAGTAATTTTTCAGATCAGAATAAGCTACAAGAAAAAATGTAGAAGAAGAAAAGTAATTTATATACTTGAAAATAAAATTGACAATTTCAATCCTTCATTTATAAACAAAACCTATTTTGCACCCTCGGAGAATTTTTCTGGATCAAATAGTGTATGCTGGGCCAGTTGGAAAAACTTAAGGAGATTTTTACAAGTCAGCATTCTTATTTACATCCACTAATTTTTAAACCAAACAGAAGATTACCATAAAGGGATAAGGAATATGAACACTAAAGTTAAGAAGCATAAAAATACCCTTTAGTATGTGGCACAATATTGCATCTCACACATCATGGCCAGTTATAGTAGTACATTACCTACTTTTTCGTCAGCTATCACAGAAGTGTTTCAAAGGGCTTAAAAACTGAATCCTCTTCCCCAGAGATCAATAGATGAACTAATAAGATGAACAGAAATTCCTTCTCTGCAAGCAGAAGTAACTGAAAAAGCTTCCATATAGATATGAAATTTACTGCTGTTTCACCTTTACTGTGAAGCTAAATGTGCACATGGGCCTCTTTAACAAGCAAGCCAATGTACCATAAAATGCCTTTTTCTACTTGTTTCATTATAACCACTCTACTTACCCAAAGCTGAAGATCAACAGGGCACAATGTTAAATAGAAAACAGGAGTAAAAGAATGAGGAACAGGGGTCATGGTGTGGATATAACCAGAGATATGAGCAGGGGGTGGCAGGGAAGAAAGAAGAAAAAGCAAAGCAGCTGAAAGAAGAACATCCAAAATACGATACTCAAAATTAAGACAGCTCATTAGATCCTCTACCTTGCTTTTGCTTTCCCCATTCCCTTTCCCTTGCTGCTGCTTATTCCAGATTGTTTTTTATATATGTACGAAGCTTGAATTTTGTATGCTAACATTCAGATTTGATCCTTACTGAAGGATGTAAATCTGCATTACTGAAAACTGTAACTTTTCCCATCAAACCTGTTACAAGAAACCTTTTCCTTCCCAATTCTGTCAAGCAAGCTAGCTGCTAAAAGTCACGGCTATTCTGTATGAAGGCTACTATGCCAAAGCAAAATTAATATACATCAGAGGGTAATTGGTTATTGTGCTCTGCCATGTTTCTAAATGAGCACCAGTACACATTTTAAATTCAAGATCAGGCA